AGTGTAGTGCTGCTAACACAAAATTCCAGGGTTTGATCCCTGTACTGGCCAGCGCCCCCCCAAAAAATTCCAGGTTGTGTCTTTCAAAGTAAATCATATCCTCCCCAACCCCCACCTTCTTTTTCCCCTTCCAACTGGCTCGAAGGAGGACCCAGTGGTTGTGGTGGTGAACCACATCCAGGACCACGTGGATAGCGACCACACATCAAGACAGAAGACACCCGAGTCCCTAACACCACAGAGCTACCATGTCAGCCTGTACCGCTTATCCTTGGACTGTTACAGGAAGAAGAAATAAATGTTTAACTTCTTCATGCTACTATGGTTAAGTTATATCTTGGTAACAGCAACTAGACCTAATCCTAACCAATATTATCTATTCAACATTACCAATTGACTATCTCATGGCCACCTTAGAGGTGCTATGAATAAATGTCTGACTTCTCATCCCAACTCAAAACTACCCAATCTCTAAAGCCAACAGTTTAAGTCAACAGAGTACACTGAAACTCCTTCCCATGGCGTTCAGAGTCTAGCTCTTCCCTTATGTTCCAGCTTTACAACCAGTCACTGTCTCCCCACCTCACTGAGTGCTATCTTCACTTTCCTATTTGCTGTTCCCAGAGCACATCACTCACTCTTTTGTTAATGCTGGCTTTGTGCCAGAGACTGGACTGGATATACACCCCCATGCNTACCCAATCTCTAAAGCCAACAGTTTAAGTCAACAGAGTACACTGAAACTCCTTCCCATGGTGTTCAGAGTCTAGCTCTTCCCTTATGTTCCAGCTTTACAACCAGTCACTGTCTCCCCACCTCACCGAGTGCTATCTTCACTTTCCTATTTGCTGTTCCCAGAGCACATCGCTCACTCTTTTGTTAATGCTGGCTTTGTGCCAGAGACTGGACTGGATATACACCCCCATGCCTCCTCAACTATTCGTTTTTGAGGCCTAGCTCAAAAATCTCCTTTGTGAAGCTTTTCACAACCTTTCTCAGGCAGTGGTACTGCCTCCCACAAATCCCTCTTATCTCTTGTCCTCCCAGCTAATCATGCTGTAGTTCACAAAAGCAAAGCCCATATCTTACTTATCCTCGTAGTACCAGTATCTCAAAACCAAGCACACAGTAGCCACAGTATTAATATTCACAGCAGCCAACGCTGTAGCTAGACTTTAAGTACTTGAATTTTCACAGCTCTGTGAGGTAGGCATTGATATTATCCCACTTGGAGAGAAGACGATTAGGCCCAGAGAAGTAAAGTAACTTCAAGTCACAGAGCCAGTAAGTGTCCTTCAAAACATGTACAAAAATCTCATAGGCATAATGGAATGGAATAAGTGACAATATTTTTACCAAGTGATTATTCTGTGACTTACACTGTATCAGGTTCTGGGGTGGGAGATGAGTTTATAATGTGGTAAAATAAAACGGTTGTTTTTGGAGATACAAAATAAATGAAAACAATCTTTTTTTTTT